CATAAGAAAGAGAACATTGCTTTACTTTCTCTAAATCTGATTTATTCATTAAAAAGTAGTCTAATCTTGAGTATTTATTATGGGCTTTTGAGTAGTACGTGGAGTCTCTTTCATTGGGATGTAACTTTCTCCAAACATCTATGATGCCAATTTCTCCCTCCGCCCTCTTTAAGAGTATAGATGTTTTCTCTGATTTATGTTTCAAACTATATTGACAGTCTAGCTTTGGGTCCATAATCAAGTTTACATCTATTTTCAGTGTTTTTACATTTGCTGTTATAAAAATACAGAGTATCATTTACATCCCACGCCAATGACATTTTACTGTCTTGCAGTCCCAGACACTTTGGGTACTATTTTATCTCATATGATATGGAGTAGCCTACTTCATTCATCGTTCTGATGATATGATATCAGTCCTAATAAACACCCCCGCCTCTTTCAAATAAACACGCTCATGGCTGGATAGGAAAACCCAGAGTTGACTGAACCAGTTGATAACCAGCTTTGTAGTACCAATTTTTCAAACGGCCAATATTAGGGTTAGTCAAACCAGATAATGAAAAGATATCCTGGCTAAGCTAAACTGGCTTCCTAGTACAGGCCTCTGGTCTAATTAAACAGGTTCATCAGTGGTTTATGGTCTGTAATTACTGTGAAACCCAGTCCATAAAAGTATTGATGAAAGCATTTCACAGCTCACCTTCCTTATCCAACTATGAATAACCCATTTCCACCGGTGCCAGGGTACATGAGGCAAAACCAGTTGGCTTCTCTGCAACATCCTCTGTTACATGCAAGAGAACTGTCCTGACTCCATAGGGTGAGTCATCACCTGAAAGAGTGATCCCCCTCTCTAGGTCAAAGTGAACAAGCAGCTTCGCTGTGTGGAAGAGTTCTTTTACTTCCTCGAAAGGTCCCTCCTCCTCCTTATTTCAGTGCCACTTAGTGGAACTGTGAAGCAGCTTATACAGACCTTTGAGGAGTCAGGAAGAAACTTGTTTTAATAATGCTCCATGCCCAAAAAAGATCCTTAGCTCATGGATGCTCGTGGAGCTTGATAGTAGAGATGTACCGATACCATGTTTTCCTTCCCGATACCGATTCCGATCCCTGAATCTTAGGTATCTACCGATAGCGAGTACCGATCCAATAACAGCGTGTAAAATAAAAATGGATGGGATATGAATTGTTGTATGTCTCAACTCCTAAAACTTTCTAAAATATTAAGAAAGAAATACATCCTACTATTAAATGGAGAAACCTCTGTCCCTCCCTCTGTCTGTCCGTCCCTCCGTCCATCCATCATCATCCGTTTTTCTCCTCACTGCTTTGGCCTACTTCTCTGAACTTGCACATAGGCTTTCATCTTGGGCATGTGCAGACAGCCACGATGCCGTTTCTGCATTTTTCCCACATTTCTACTGTTTATATTCATGTTTTTGTCCACTACCCATTCATACTGTGAGCACCATCAGCAGCATGAGCTGCGCATGCGCGGGTCATGTGCAGACAGCCACGATGCCGTTTTTGCATTTTTCCCACATTTCTACTGTTTACATTCACATTTTTGTCCACTACCCATTCATACTGTGAGTACCATTAGCAGCACGAGCTGCGCATGCATGCTGGGACCACAGTTTGGCTGGGAAGCCTTTATCTCCAACACTTGCAGATCAAAACCTGTATGTGTGTACCTGTGTGCCCACGCACAGCCCCGCGCACGCGCGTGCCTCTGTGCCATCAGCCAAAACTATGCTCCATGTATTTTGCCATAAAGCATATTTCTAAATACAGTGGGTCTCATTCATGAAAAGTGAGTAAATCTGTGTGTAGATTTGCACATAAAAGCCTACTCTACTAAAAACCTACTCCGGATTCAGGAACGCCGCGGGAAACTCAGATTTTATCTTAAACACGTGTGTATGATCATGAATGCCAATCCATCGTAAAGTGACAGCGTGCTCCTGGTAATCAGCAATTAGCATAAATCCCCGCCCATGAATATCCAATGACCGCCATATAAGGAGGTGTACATGCATCCTATCGACCTGTCAGTCATGGCGTAAAGAAAGAAAGAGAAAGAAAGAAAAAAGAATTTTTCCGAAGCGGAGATCGAAATAATTTTGGGTGAAGTGGACTTAAGAAAAAACATTTTATTTTCTTCAGCTAGTAGTGGTACGACAGGCAAAGTGAAGGCCTGGAGGGAGGTAACAGATGCTGTTGATGTTGTCTCCGTAGTACAAAGAACCAGAGGTGAAGCGTAAATGGTTTGATATGAAACTGGAGACAAAGAAACGCATAAGCACACACACACAAATATACAGCAGCCACAGGAGGAGGAGGCTCACAGTCACAACTATCTGCTGCAGACGAGCGCATCGCTGGCATAATTGGGGAGACCTCTCTGTCAGGAATTATTCCTGACGGAGCCAGCGACATGCCTCCACTGGAGTCAACATCAAACCCAGACTGTAATGTGTTATAGCCTAATACATTCTGAAAATCATCATTGGTAGCGTAGTGGTCACTAAACAAACAGAAGATTCATTTGTGGGGTTTTGAATGAAGTGGGAACGGGAAACCAGAGATGTTTTGTGCGTAATGGATAAACTCTAAATCAGTGATGGCTGTCGGAATGTAGAGCTATTTAACATTTATTTTAACAAATGATAAGGATAACATATAGCCTACAGCAGTTTTGTATGCATCGTCTTCAAATTATTTGAATCTTAACCTTTAACCTTAATCTTTATACAACGTAAATTAAACATTTTCAAATCAGATTTATTCATTCAAATGATCAAAAAGCCACAAAAAAAAACAAAAAAAAAAAACACGTGTTGTCTCAAATAATTCTTTCAGCTGCTCCTGCTGAACCCAGGCACCGAGACCGAAGAGGCCGTGATCCGGCTGTCCTTACGGATATTTTTATTATCATCATTCAACATGTAGAAAAAACGTGTAATCTATTGAGTCGATTTACATAGATAATTCACAATCATGAATCTAATCTGGATCTTAAACCTGCTAATTGCCAACTAATTTAACTAAATGTGTTATATTTTTAATATTTTGTCATGTTTAGATTACGTGTTTCAAAGGCATCTGTGTATTGTGTACATAACAGAGCGCCATACAAGTTAAAATTGTAATTTCCAATAGTGACAAGCAATATTTATGTGCTTTACTAAATTTACACAAGCACTACGAGTGGTCAGGAGCAGGAGTAGATTTTGTTAGTAGCTACGAAAAGATCACAGTGCATTTACAGTGCTCTGATTTTGCATCTCCTCTATTATACTGTTTTTGATTTCTTATTCCTCTATACATAACACATCCCCGGGTATGGACTAGTAATAGTAGAATGAATGCCATAAAACTTTTTTTTTTATTATTATTATTATCCAGTGTTGACACAGATCAAGACACAGGTTAAAGTGCAGCCACACAATTTGGTAAAAAAGTCATTTTAAAGGCTACAGTAGAATGTAGGGCTTGTATTAAAAAATACAAGAATTTTCACGAGATGACTTAAAGTAAGAAGATTAAAAAATAATGGCAGGGCTTTTACTCACCACAACTGCAGAGGCTACCAGCTTCATTTGAAACAGACTACATTATAAAAGGGCCGTTATTTATTAATCCCTCTGTGTTTTTATATTTTTACGTTTTAATCCGCTCCCTGAACTTCAAATTAAAAGCCCCTTATAACCCTGGCTGAGAGAATCCATCCATTTTCTAAATAGGCTTTTATTTATATTCAAATGTAGCTCCTGCCGTCTGCTGGCGCTTTTTACGTTACTACAACAACATTTCAGCTGGCACATGAACAGACACAGTGACTCAAATAATATTAAAAGTAATAAAAATAGGACAAGAATAACCCGATGACATCACACACGTCGTGAAAGACGACCGGGGATAATTAGTGTGTACCATCGTGTAGTGTGTCATGTCTGTTGGTCAAGTCACAGCATGATTTTATGACTCCACAATCGTGTAATGTGACATAGTGACTTTCAGAACGGGCAGAAAAGACGTGTAGTGTGTACCAGGCATAAATCCTCCTTTACCATACTGGTATCAGTATGGGTACAACTCTACTTGATAGCTTTCACTTTATCCTCCACTGAAGTAGCCAAATGCTACATCTCCCTGGGCCCCAGTGGGGTCCATTAATGTCTGTACACAAACTAATGGCATCCATCCATCAGCTGTTGAGACACTGCAGTCTGGACCAAAGTTAGATAACAAAGGCTGACATGCACATAGTGGATTTACATGGGTAGTGGCACATACATAAAACCAAGTCATTATAGCTTCATCAGGAAACATTGGAGCTATTTCTTTAGCCGTTGACTGCAGTTATTCATATCATCTAAAAGCTCTGTCCCCGTTACCAGGTTTGAGCTCTAAGCTCACTACTCTGTTGAACTTGGCTGACAAGATACAACATGTCAATCTGACAGCTTGTTGCCTCTGACAGTTGTTTGAAGTTTTACCTTTAACATTGCCAGGCAAGAGTCCCCTGCCTTTTGTGACAAAGAGATTCAGTCATGCATTCATTTTCCGTAACCGCTTGTCCTGTTAGGGGTCATTGGGGGCTGGAGCCTATCCCAGCCGACAACAGGGGTACACCCTGGACAGGTCACCAGGCTATCACAGGGCTGACACATAGACACAGACAACCAATTATGCACACATTCACGCCTACCTAGAGTCACCAATTAACCTATCTTGCATGTCTTTGGACTGTGGGAGGAAGCTGGAGTATCCGGAGAAAACCCACACTGACCCAGGGAGAACATGCAAACTCCATGCCGAGGGGCTCCCCCACCCCAGGGGTGCGAATCCCCCCACCCCAGGTTTGAACCGGGATCCGTTTTGCTGTGAAGCAACAATGCTAATCATTGCACTGCCATGCCATCCTTGGACACAGAGATGATTTATATATATTGATATTAACTGATAGAGTGTCTTTTATCATTTCATTTCAGGATTGTCCTGACTTACCCTGCTTGAGATCCACGTGCAAACATGACAACCACATCCAACAGCAGCATTTTGGGTGGCAAGGTTTCTTCCTCGCCCCTCATATCTTCTCCACCCCGGCAACGCCTAGTCACCAAAGATGGACACTGTGCCCTTCGTCCACCTCTGTGCTCTTCAGGCTTGCAGCGCAGGGCCTTGGGCAGAGCTTGGTTACTGGCCTTGCAGGATTTGTGGGGACTGTTGGTGGGTCTGCGCTGGAGATGGGTCCTGCTGGCCTTCTGCACCTCTTTCCTGGCCCACTGGCTGCTGTTTGCCTGCCTGTGGTACTTGCTGGCCCACTTCAACGGAGACCTGGTGGTGCAGGATCATGATGCCCCCCCACAGGGGCATGTGGTTTGCGTAAAGCACATAACCAGCTTCACTGCTGCTTTTTCCTTTTCCCTGGAGACACAGCTGACCATCGGCTACGGCACCATGTTCCCCAGTGGAGACTGTCCCAGTGCCATAGCACTGCTGGCTGTGCAGATGCTGCTGGGGCTTATGCTGGAAGCATTCATCACAGGTACAACTCTCCTATTCCTAAAGCCCTCTCTCCAAAAACATGAACTCTCACAGTTTTAAGTTTAATGGACATACTAAGAGCCAAACTGGAGCTTAAGATTGAAACTTAATATAATAATAATAATAATAATAATAATAATAATATGATTTTTTTGGACATTAGATGTGAAAAAGTGGGGGTTGTTATATATTCAAGGACTTTACATTTATGTATTCACAACAGCAGGTGTTTGAGTGTTGAGTCAAAGTCTGATTCCTCATCAATTTGTGTTTCCCCTTCCATCAATCTCAGCCCACACCCCAATCAGTCAAATGCTGTGATACTTGTGTTCAAACAAGCCCCTTATCTTAATCCTAACCAATTATCTCCTAAACACCTAGCTGTATCTTGACCTGGAGCCAAAGAGCCACTATGAAGCTAAATATACTTCATTGTTCCAAAGGTTTTAATTGCTTTTGAGCAGTGTGGCCGATCATCCCTTTTTCAAACCATCATGAAACCTCTCTGATGATGTCATTGTCTTTTCAATCCTGGCTGCAGCCATGGTAATGAGGCCACTATGTCAGAACTGTGCAATAATCTGATAATGCACACCCTCTGTCAACACTTAGGTACAAATTCAAGGTACTTTACTGGAGTATATCCATTTTTTATTACCATATATTTGTACTTCACAACATTTTTGAGGAAAAATTTACTGTTTACTGCACTACGTGTATCTGACAGATGGAGTTACTAGTTACTTTACAGATTAAGATTTTATGTGTTTACAAAACACACCACATTGTTTAGATTAAACAGGTGGTTTGTAGCTTGTGACCTCTTAACAAAAAAGCAGTATGGAGTTTGGGCCCTTTGCCATATTTCATATGCCTGTGAGCTGTTGGCAGTTCCAACAAAGACAGAAAATAAGGAAAGCACACGCACATCTCATACATAGGTGCTGAGTCCGTAAAATAGAAGTAGGCAGGTAGAAGACTAGCAACACTGCGGCTCCCGTAGAGGAATTCTTTTATTAAGTGACTACGTAATAACTAAAGATTACATAATAGATAAAGACAATGTTTTAAGCCCAAACGGGCTCTTCGTCAGGTCAGTGATTAGACAAGTGTGTGCAGGTGTTCATCATATACACTCTGGGGATCCACCCATAGGTGTGGTCAAAAAGATGAAGACAAACAAGCAGACACAGCTGATGATCACAATGGCACTCATACAATATACAAGTAAAATACCAAAAAATTTCAAATAATATGTACAGTATAAAAATAGGGATTCTGTCATTTAATAGCTGCAAATTTGATAAGAAGGCCTGTGTAAACAAAAAAGAAAAAATCTCCACTAGGAAAATTTAAGTGACTCAAAGGAGGACAAAATTAATGAAATATTAATAATTCGAAAAATGTAAGAAAAAACATAAATCATGGTTGTCTGGGGAATAATAATGAGGCAGCCTAAAGCCGTCAATTGATGAAGAATCAAGTTCTCCTTCCCTATGAAAAAAGGGAAATGATATTAGAAACCAAATATAAAAATTTACACACAAAAAAATAATTTAAGTATTCAAAATTAATTCATATGGGAGCCAAAACAAAAGAAAAAATATCTATAAAACATATATGAAGAGACTACACAGAAAAAATGGGGGGAGAAGGGATATTCTCTTCCCTCTTGATCTGGCTACTCATTTCTGGGACATCATTGTTAAGCATTTAAAGCTGAAGAAGTAAGTCATTTCCCCTTCCCTAAAATAAGAGAAAAAGGAACAATGATAAGGAATGAATACCCAGATTAACAAAAAAGAGTGTGTATAAGAAACAATGAGGATTAACCTCGATACATAAATAAACAAGTACATCAAAGTGATAAATATTGAGAGAAAAACCTCAAATGTAACAAAAAAAGGTTTCATAGAAAAATCTTCACTCATTGAACAAAACAAAATGTATATAGGTCTGTTTGGGTTCAGTATGCTTGAAATTAATTGAAAATCTAAAGGCAAAAATGTTCATATCTGTGCTAAGTGGCCAAACCTAAAGGCTGGGCAAACAGGAGGGCTCCACTCTAATTTAACTTTGGCCCCATTAGTGAATCACGTTCTTACCTTAATGGCATCCATAAGCCAGCCAAAGACCAACCGATGTGGACCTACAGGAACATGTGGGTGGGGGCGCAAGGCAGACACCAAATCAAAATCAAAGACAAATCAAAAAATAAAGACAGAAACACATTTTCAACCGCACTTCTTGTTTGGTGCCTATTCATTTTGAGCATCCAGAACATTTTGTGGTATTACCTCTGCTGCTATTGTTACAGCCTGATTTATTTTGTTGCTATTTACTGCAAAGCAGCATGAGACAAAAGGCCAAAACATCTCCTCATCATATAATTTTGTTTTAACCTTTAGGTGCATTTGTAGCCAAGATTGCACGTCCCCAGAAGCGAGCAGGAGCCATCCAGTTCAGCCCCCAGGCGGTGGTGGGCCAAAACCAGGGCCAGATGTGCCTCATGCTACGGGCCACCAACCTGCTGCAGCGACCTCTGGTGGATGTAAAAATGAGTGCTGTGCTCTATGAGGAGCATGAAGGTCAGGCTCTGCACCAGACCTCTCTGGACTTTCACTTGGATCATTTAGGCCAGCAGCCCTGTCCATTCTTCATCTTTCCACTCACCTTTTACCACCCCTTGGACCGCCAGAGCCCCCTCTATCCTGCCCTGTGTGAGGGCACATCCAATCACTTTGAGTTGGTGGTCTTCCTGTCAGCCTTGCAGGAGGGAACTGGTGACTCCTGCCAGAAGAGGACCTCCTACCTGCGCCAAGAAATCCAGTTTGAGCGTCGCTTTGTACCTGCCTTGGGGTTGGATGCTCATGGGAGGTACATTGTGAGCCCCCAGCACTTTGACACGGCTCACTCAAAAGAGCCTTTTAACAAGGACTGTGTGGTGCAGATCAATGGTGATGGCAACGACAGGATGGAGTAAAAATTCTGAAGGGCAGGTCTCATAGGGACAGATAAGAGTTTCTAAGGGATAACTGGGGTGGGTAACAGAGAGGTAGATATTTTTGTCAGGTGGTACTTGATTTAATTTGGTAAATCTGAATTTATAAGCTATCTAAGCATTTGAAATTAAAAATGTATATGAGACATAGGTGCTGCTGTGGTCTGCCTCAGCTTTAACCTGTTATTTGTTATTGGAATGGTAAAATTACTGACTGCTGTAAACATTCATCAGAGTTTAGAGACCTACTTCCTCCTTCAGCTTTGAACTGCTGTACTTACTACAGCTGTTTGCGTTGGGTATTGGGGCGATCATCTCACTGCTTGTGAGTTGTTGTTTTTTTTGAAGATTGGACCTAATTTTAGAGATGTCCCTGCATTCTGAGATCTGAGCAGTTACTATGCTGAGTGCAACATTGTCATACCTGATAGAACTGATGGCCAGGGCTACAAAAATAAAACCCAAACTGTAATAAAGCACAGTTTGCTTTTAAATTTAATCAAAATTCCTTTGCATTGTATTACTTTCCATGTAAGGTTTTGTGACTGGATTGAATACAGTCAAGCTATATTTGTGATGACACAGTCCATTTCAAATTCAGTTCCACTTTCGGTAATCAATATTCTATCATTAACACTAAATCAAATGAGCATGTGTAATGTGAAAGTGGGCATTCATTGTGATGGACCCTCAGTGATCAATATTTCCTTTTCTTTCAGCTCATTGTTTTAGTCTTATGGCACATTTAGTGTTTGGTTAAATCTCTTCGCTCTCAACTGCTTGGTTTACAGCAACAGCAGGTAGCTGATTTCAGCAAAAAAATAAATATAAAAGCTTTAAAAATCTGACTCTTCACTACATGCTGAATATTTGTACAAAATTTCATGGAAATCCACACTTTACAGTTGTTGAGATATCCCACTGTGGACAAAAGTGGTCGACCCACAAACCAACGGATGACCATTCACATATTAAAACCCAAAATAATTCTTTGGAATATGCCCAGTGGAAATGTAAATTATAATTGATTTGTACTGGATGTATAAAAACACACTTACAGTCCTTAAACCTGTTGTGAATTCCATAGCATTTGATAATTAAATTGGTGCAGATCAACAATACATTACAAAGGCGGATGAACTCATTCAAAACCACATGCCCCAGGCACAGCGCTCAGTCCTTATACTTTGGTGCAGGTGATGGCAGGTATATTGAAAGTGTTGAAATAGCAAGTACCAATCCGAAAGCAATATAATGCGATGACTTCACTGTCATCTCTGTAAAACAGGGCATTCATGTCACTGATCAATGATTTCCTCTACTGATGTTTGTGGACTCACAACACAACTGAAGGATTACACTGTTACTGTCAACATGAGCTCACCTGCATGAAATGACATATGGCTTAGTATTAACTGATAGAATTATACTGACTGCTGATTGATTTATAATGTCTTTTTTAATCATTGCCTCAATCATTATGCAAAGCAAAAATCAATGTATTAACTTCAATTTGTACAGTATCGAATGTCTCTAGATTTGGCAAAGAAAGCAAGGAAGTAAGGAAGAGGTGTTGTAGTAAATGTGTGTTTGTATTTGGAGTGCCATCTCTTTAAAGGCTGATGCCATGAAGAGAATCACTGTGTTATCTACAGTACAGGCCAAAAGTTTGGACACACCTTCTCATTCAATTCGTTTTCTTTATTTTCATGACTATTTACATTGTAGATTCTCACTGAAGGCATCAAAACTATGAATGAACACATGTGGAGTTATGTACTTAACAAAAAAAGGTGAAATAACTGAAAACATGTTTTATATTCTAGTTTCTTCAAAATAGCCACCCTTTGCTCTGATTACTGCTTTGCACACTCTTGGCATTCTCTCCATGAGCTTCAAGAGGTAGTCACCTGAAATGGTTTCCACTTCACAGGTGTGCCTTATCAGGGTTAATTAGTGGAATTTCTTGCTTTATCAATGGGGTTGGGACCATCAGTTGTGTTGTGCAGAAGTCAGGTTAATACACAGCCGACAGCCCTATTGGACAACTGTTAAAATTCATATTATGGCAAGAACCAATCAGCTAACTAAAGAAAAACGAGTGGCCATCATTACTTTAAGAAATGAAGGTCAGTCAGTCCGGAAAATTGCAAAAACTTTAAATGTGTCCCCAAGTGGAGTCGCAAAAACCATCAAGCGCTACAACGAAACTGGCACACATGAGGACCGACCCAGGAAAGGAAGACCAAGAGTCACCTCTGCTTCTGAGGATAAGTTCATCCGAGTCACCAGCCTCAGAAATCGCAAGTTAACAGCAGCTCAGATCAGAGACCAGATGAATGCCACACAGAGTTCTAGCAGCAGACCCATCTCTAGAACAACTGTTAAGAGGAGACTGCGCCAATCAGGCCTTCATGGTCAAATAGCTGCTAGGAAACCACTGCTAAGGAGAGGCAACAAGCAGAAGAGATTTGTTTGGGCCAAGAAACACAAGGAATGGACATTAGACCAGTGGAAATCTGTGCTTTGGTCTGATGAGTCCAAATTTGAGATCTTTGGTTCCAACCGCCGTGTCTTTGTGAGACGCAGAAAAGGTGAACGGATGGATTCCACATGCCTGGTTCCCACTGTGAAGCATGGAGGAGGAGGTGTGATGGTGTGGGGGTGTTTTGCTGGTGACACTGTTGGGGATTTATTCAAAATTGAAGGCACACTGAACCAGCATGGCTACCACAGCATCCTGCAGCGACATGCCATCCCATCCGGTTTGCGTTTAGTTGGACGATCATTTATTTTTCAACAGGACAATGACCCCAAACACACCTCCAGGCTGTGTAAGGGCTATTTGACCAAGAAGGAGAGTGATGGAGTGCTGCGGCAGATGACCTGGCCTCCACAGTCACCGGACCTGAACCCAATCGAGATGGTTTGGGGTGAGCTGGACCGCAGAGTGAAGGCAAAGGGGCCAACAAGTGCTAAACACCTCTGGGAACTCCTTCAAGACTGTTGGAAAACCATTTCAGGTGACTACCTCTTGAAGCTCATGGAGAGAATGCCAAGAGTGTGCAAAGCAGTAATCAGAGCAAAGGGTGGCTATTTTGAAGAAACTAGAATATAAAACATGTTTTCAGTTATTTCACCTTTTTTTGTTAAGTACATAACTCCACATGTGTTCATTCATAGTTTTGATGCCTTCAGTGAGAATCTACAATGTAAATAGTCATGAAAATAAAGAAAACGCATTGAATGAGAAGGTGTGTCCAAACTTTTGGCCTGTACTGTATGTTGTTTAAAATCATGTAGCCTTTAGACATAACAGAGGAAATGTTCCAAAAATGCGATTGTTAATGGTGGGATCTCACTGAATCTCAAATGCTTCAGTGCCTTTGTACAGTGTACATTTCATGAAATAAATATTTTCTAAACAAACTCGGAAGTGATCCTTACATGATTTAGCTTGTAGACTTCATGAACTCATCAATATGGAAGCGCATTGCATTCACTGGATAAAATAAAAAATTAGACACCTTATCTCATAATTACGAGATCTTTTCTCATAATTACGAGATCAGGATCTCGTAATTATGAGATCAGGATCTCGTAATTATGAGATCAGGATCTCATAATTACAAGATAAGGATCTCGTAATTATGAGATCAGGAAAGGTGCCACATTAGCCACTGCTTCGCTCAGAACCACATACTNGAGATCAGGATCTCATAATTACAAGATAAGGATCTCGTAATTATGAGATCAGGAAAGGTGCCACATTAGCCACTGCTTCGCTCAGAACCACATACTGCACATCCACGAAGGGGGGTCGGAACTACTGTAACCAGCTGCCACTCGGGTGGTGCCATCTTGACTATATCCCATATCTTTATTATAATGTGTATATATTGTAAATTACGACGGAGCATTAGGGTACGACTGAGTATTAGGGCCACATTAAAAAAAAAAAATTCGGAGATTTTGAGAATAAAGTCATAACTGAGAAAAAGTCATAATATTAGGCTACGAAAAATAAAGTCTAATTATGAGATTAAAGTCGTTATTTAATTGGAATGAAGTCATAATATTACGAGAATAAAGTCGTAGTTTTTTAAGGAAATAACCAACAACAAACAGTATGTCAGATTGTCTTTCATGCCAGTGTAAGTAGCCTACTTAATTAGGTTCGGGAACCAGCACTGTGCCAGTGTTCTGACGATTTGGTTCTGTGTCAGTCGAAATGCGCTGTTTGTGACTCCGGGCCCAGCTCTGCCACTGATGGGCCAGTCTGACATCCTTCATAATACATAAAGAACGTTAGTGAAACACATAGGCCTAACACAAACATGCGTTCGTTTGGGGACAAGTTAGTGGTCACGTTACTCGTTCCACAGGCGAAGGACCCCGGACACATAACCTACAGTAAATACATCGGTTGTAAGTAACTTTTAACATAGCCTACATGAGTCTTTGTGACGCTTGACTCTTGTCCCCTAACTAACGCTTGTTTCTGTTTCATTAACAATATTTTCACACGATTAAGTCACATCCCCTTATTTCCTCTGTGAACCTAACGTTACAGCAGCCTACAAGCATACTGTGTCAATAAATCAGCTCAGACACTGTTAGAAATGTAGTATTTAGCCTAATAACATCATACTACATCAGTAATAACATCAGCTTTAGTCAAATGGCTCTAGCTCTCCCGGTAAATGTCAAAAACTCTGGACACATTTTCCCTGTATGTTGACATGATAATGGCCACGTTTCCCAGATCGCTCTTAGCTTAAGAAGATCTTTCACTAAGAAGGAGTTGTAAGATCGAGCTGACCCACTCTTAACAGCCTTCTTAGTGACCAAACACCCACAGATCCAGCCGCTGCAGGCACATTAATATTACACTGAGCAAGGAGATATTAAAACAGTGCGCACCGTATATATTTTGATCTATTTCATACTTCAGATTTATATTGTTTGGCGTTAATTGGTGACAGAAAAGAACAAATTTCATTCTGCAGGGAAACGTGTGTCCTTACTGTGCATATTGAATCTTGAATC